TACGAGAGGTCATACCCAGCCGGGTAAAGAGAGATCATGCTCATCTGGGGCTCCTACCAGCAGCTTCTCCTGAATCTGGAGGGACTAGGAGGATCAGCTTGAATGGAAATACCAGCATAAGCAGGGTGTTGCTGACTGTGTGTGGGGTTGTTTCTCTCTCTCTCTCTCTCTTTTTTTTTTTTTTTGCAGGTTTATTGAAGGATCAATGGTATAAGACAAATATGGCACATATTTAAGGTATAAAATTTGAACAGTTTTGACATATGTAGAAAAACCATCACCACCATCAGGATACTGAACACATCATTACCTCAACAATTTCTTGTACCCCTTCACAATCCCTTCAACACCCCAATCTCCTCCCACCTCATCCCCAGGCAACCACTGATCTGCTTTCTGTCACTATAGTTTAGTTGGCATATTTTGGAATTTTATACAAATGGAATTTTACTGTGTGTGTGTGTGTGTGTGTGTGTGTTCCTTCTCTCTGGTTCAGCCTTAGGAAAGGAGAAAGTTCAATGAATGTGTCCTTGGGAATGTGTTCTGCTGAATCAAGAGGTGAGGGCAACCTCCCAGGAGCTGAGCTGACTCCTGTGCTCACTCGCAGTCCTCAGTCCTTGGTCAGACTTTCCTGAACAGAGGCCAGGGTTTGATGTTACCAATCAGATTGGAGGCAGGAGGTTGTTGTTGACTTTCCAGAAATCACTGGCACAGATGTCTTGAGTGCCTTTAGGCTGTGGGGTTTTATGAGGTTATGGCATGATTGAGATAAGCATAGCAAATTCTATTACAAGAAGGTGTTTCCGTGTCACTGGAGCCGTGGAAGGTGGGTCCCACAGTCACTGAGATCCTAGCCCTGCAGGAGCTGTGCGACCTTGGCTTAGCCCAGAGCCAGAGCCCTAAAGCAGTTTCCCACTTACAAGATAAGGGCAGTGCTTCCTCTTTCCCTGGGTTGTTGGAGTGAAGGTGCATTGAAACAGTCAAAGGTATACAAGTGGGAGGCAATACTGAATCCCTGGGTGACCTGCAGTCATAATGATATGCTGACCTGGTTGCAATACATCTTCATGGGGATCAGTCCATACCACAAAGTACTTTGGCCCTTGTCTCTGCCCAGTCATTCTACAATGAAAGGGCATGGGGGAGGCATGGGGGTTCTCCCATGTGGCACTGTCACCCTTCCCCCACACCCTGGGCCATTTCCAGCGTGGACGTGGATGGTGACGCCAGAACGGTGCCCACGACACAGGTGACACTCTGCTTCCCCACAGGCGACCCCAGGTCTGGTTTCCTCTTGTAAATGGGTCTCAGGACTTCTCCCCACACCTCAAAGGCAGGCAGGCAGCTTGCTCTAACAGAGCACAGCCAACAACTCAAGAGACTCAGTTCCAGGTGCTCGTCCCCTTGGGGCTGTCTGGCTGCAGAAAAGTTGAGACACCTTGTCAGGTGCAGGAATGTTAGGCCCAAGGAGATGGGGGTTGGGCAGAGTTTTAGTTAGCACTTGGCCAGGGGCCCATATCATCAGGTCCTCTACAGTTAACCAGGAGACCTTGTATCCACAGCCCGAGCTCCCCATAAGGCACTGGGACGCCCCAGGCTGGAGTCCCTGCTGAACACCTGTACCCCAGAGTGTGGCCAAGAGGCATGGCCGGGGGTGGGGGGGGGAAGGAGGGGGGAGTGCACCTTCCTGAACCAGGGAAGAGGTGGGAGGGGATTGGTAACTGGTCTTAGGTCAGCTGGTCTGTTCGTCTTGGCCTGATTTTCCGTCTGCCCTCTTTTCTGCCACCACCCATATTCGCCTCCCTGTACCTCCTATCCTCTATCTCCTATCCCCACCCCTCACCCCACTCCCAGGCTTTCAGCCACGGTTTACTTTTGGGTAAAAGTCCTCTAGGTGTAACCCTCTCAGCGGTCTGTCAAAGGGAAAGGTTCGCATCGCACATCTGCACAGTGGCTGGGCTGGCCCCGGCCACAGCTGGCTGCTGAGCACGGGAGTGTGGTGAGGGAGACGGAGAAACTCAGTTGATTTTATTTTAATTTAATACGTTTACATTTAAAAGCTGATAATTGATTCAGTTATTTGGAAAAGTTTTGAGTGTATTTGGAGTAAGTATGTGAATCTGCTTTTTCAACTGTAAATTTTATGAAGTCTAAAGATAAATATTTTCAATGAAAATTTAGCATCTGAATTAAGATGTGCTAGAAGTGTAAAATACACACCAGATTTCAGACATACTATGAAAAAGACAAATGAAAATATTTCACATCAAAATATTGATTCCACGTTGAAATGATAGTATTTCGGATCGGTTGGGTTACATAAAACATATTACAATTAATGTCCCTGGTTTCCTCTACTGTTCTTGGCGTGGCTACTAGAACTTTAAAATTTTATGTCTTACGTTATATTTTACTGTGTTTCTGCCGGACTGTGTGCTCTAGATTGCCCATTTAGCTGGGTTTCGAGGAGGTAACAGCCCGGCTGAAGGAGGACTTGCATCTCCTGGGCCCACCCATGGCTGTCACCGCCACACTTCCTGTCCCCACTGCAAGGGAATCTGAGTCCAGGGCATGTGGGGAAGGCTGTGGAGGGAGAAGAGAGATGACCTCTGTTGCACCCATGTCCTTCCTGGGGCAACGGAGGTGAAAACCAGAGCTTTTCTAAATAACTCAAACCATGGCGGGCCTGTTTGTAAGCCTTAGACAACTGCCTCCTTGCGCAGACCAGAGGACGCAGTCTGGGCTTAGACAAAAGATGACATGGAGGGTGGTAGCATGTTTTGCAAAAAGGATCCAAAATAAGGTAACATTCAGGCAACCAAGAGAGGCTACCAACCTACTAGGTGTAATTCCTAGTAAAGTAAAGGGACATAAGACCCATTTCCTGCTCTGGCCGGTTTGGCTCAGTGGTTAGAGCGTTGGCCCTTGGACCAAAGAGTCACGGGTTCAATTCTGGTCAAGGGCACGTACCTCGGTTGCAGTTTGGTCCCCAGCCCTGGTTGGGCTCGTGCAGGAGGCAACCAATTGATGTGTCTCTCTCACATCAATGTGTGTGTGTGTGTGTGTCTCTCTCTCTCATCTCACCCTCCCACTCTATCTGAAAATAAATGAAAAAATATCCTCAAGTGAGGATTAAAAAAAGAGAGAGAAAGAAAGACCCGTTTCCTATGTTCATGGCACTTTGGTTAAGAACATCTCCCTCTTTTCCAAACGTCTGTTTGAGTCTGACTTATTTTTCAGGGCCCTTTCCCCGATCACTCGACTTCCCCGCTCCACTAAGCAAGCGGCTGTGAGGAGCCTGGGCTGCACACGCCGTGGGCCCCCATCCGCAGCCCAGGGGTCCTGCGTTTGCCCTCGGAGCCGGGCTCTAGGACCCGGATGCAGACGGCATGTTGTTCATTCTGATCGTACTTCCCACCGTAGGGAGCTACAGAGGGCTTTGCCGGTAGTAGTGCTTTCAACCTCACATCCAAAAATAAAAGTCTCGTGAAAAACTTTATTTATAATTTCTCATATTTACAGTGAATGGCTTCATACAATCATTCTTACAGTAAATACAGAAGTGCTAAACGGACCTTCTTGGCTGTGGCCTGTGGTCCATCCAAGGCACAGGGACAGAGGGGTGCTGCAGACCCGGGTGCTCCCCGAGGGCCAGCCAGGTGGCCTCAGAGAGTTGAGGGGAGAGGAATTTAAGGTCCGAACTTGAAGTGCGATTACTAGTCAATGCAGCGAAATCCTAGAATATCTTTTAAGAAAACAGATGCAGGTTTTACCAGGTGATACTAAAGAAACAAAACAGAGAGTCAAGCCCCCACGAGTGAGAGGCGGAGAAGCCAGGGCCGTCCCCTGCCCCTCAGCACGGCACTGGCTCCTTAGTGGTGACTGGCCAGTGGACACGTGGGAACCCGAGGAGAGGGTCCCGCTCCCGGAGGTGGATCCTCAGCAGCTCCGAAGGACCCGCAGGGAGTCGACTGTTGACTGTTGGAGCCTCTGTTTGCGTCCAGCCCTGTTTTGTCTCAGTCACGAGGGCCAGGAAACGGGAGCCTGGGCTGTGCCGAGGGCAAAGGGGGCAAAGAAATGTCCCTGTTTTCACCACCCGATAAATCTTTCTTTTTATAAAAGCCATTGTGCCAGGTACAGTGATCTCTCTGTCCTCGCACCAGATTTGTCCATGAAAGGTGGGGAGCTCTCAGATGGTCCCCCAGCTCTGGAGCGGTGTACGTTGGTTTCTGATGGGCAGCCTTGGGCCGAGGCCAAGAAAGCATGACCTAGTTCCCATTGCTCGGTCACGGGTTGTCCCTGCTGTCATTTGATCAGCATCAGGTGTGCTAAAGGCAGGATCAGGATGCCGCCCGGGCCCCAGCGCTGTGAGAGGCCTCGTGAGCACCCACATTTCTGAGTCCCCATGAAGTCATTTGGAATTTTGCCCAGCAAACAAGCTCCAGAGACGGAACTTGCAGCACTACAAAAAATTGTGACTAGACAAAGGCAAAGCCTTCTCAGAGTCAGAGGGAGGAGCAGGAGGGACACGTTGATACAGAGAAACCTGTGCATCAAGAGGACATTCCATGCTGTCAAAATGAGACTGGGAATCACAGCTCTGTGTGGACGGGGGTGGGGGTGGGGGGCTGACCATGGGAGGTTGGGGTGGAACTAACATCTCCGCGGGGCTCTTGGTCAGTGAGGAGCGAGGGCAGTGAAGGAGTTCCGTCTCCGCAGAAACTGTCTCTGGGACTTGGGGGAAGACCAGGAGGAATCTTTGTAACATCCCTTTAGTTTGGTCGCTAAAGACCGCATGCCAGCCCTGGCACAAGTAACTTCCTGCTGTTGTACCTTGACAATGTATTTTAACTAAGCCGCGGCGTGCCATCCTCAGCCGGAGAAGTAGGTCAGTCCCGATTCCAGGTGGGCGGTACGGACTCCACAAAGGTGGCAGAAACGGAATTTGGGCAAAAGAAACAGAGCTCGTCAATCCCTTTGCTTCTGCCTGTTTTCTCTAGATTCTCAGGACTCACGTCTGCCGGAGGAGAGAGAACGCAGCAGCACATTTCCAAGGAATAGCCGGATTATTGATAACATCTGTGGAGTATAAACCATAACGGCCCCACTGGCAGTAGGCTGGGCTTGGGCTTAATAGTCCGTCCTTACACTGACAGCCCCTGAGACTCCCAGTGCTCACGTGTCTTCATTCTCCCTACAGTCCAGTCAGTGCATCTGCTCCAAGGGACAGGACTCGGAAGACGCCTCTGCTGTCTTTCAGGACTGTCTCTTGTTTTCTTTTTGTCTCAGACCCCTTGACCCTTCCTGTATCAATGCTTCCCGCTCCCCACCCCCACCTCCCCAAGCTGCAAAGTCAGACTAAAGGCTTTGTCACAGTAGAAGGAAATCGGAAGAAGATACCACCACCTTCCCTGAGAAACAGACTTGAGTCTCCAAAGCAAAACCGAAGCAGAGGGTGCACATTCAGGTTTGAAAGCTTGGATAAGGAGCAGAATTTCCAGGACATTTGAAAACACACTTGAGTGAACCCCTGGATAAAAGTGTTTTTCAATAATAGCAGCCCTCACCAGGCAACGTGGCTGTGTCCCCAGAATCAAGACCTCTTACAGGTCTTACAAATGAAGCAGACAGCTCAGTTCCCGCCTCTTTGGCCACCTCTTCCCATCCATGATGGCACTGGGAGTGGCCATAGCGTCCGGACGGTGGGGCACCCACCTAGAGGCTCCGGCGGCCTAGGGTGTTTGTGGGGTAAGCTCTGTAGAACTCTCGGGTATTGTAAGTGTCCAGGGAGTCACAGTGTGTAGCACCCAAAGCAGAGTCCTTCCTTGGATGAGCCTGGAGTGCCGAGGCCTCAGGCGTGGGCCTCCGTCTCCTTCTTGAAGGCTGGCTTGTAAATGACTCCTTTGTTGTCGCCACCTTTTTTGCTATTGGAACAAGAAGAACACACGAGTCTTATTAGTCAAAGGGGAGGGAGGCAGAGTGCGGCCTGACAGCCAGGAACGAGGCAAGGTGCAGGGGTCAGACTCCTCTCTTGGGGGCCCTTCCCCAATTCTGTTGGTTTTGGGGGGAATGGCAGCAAAGAGCATTAACCAAAATGAACCTATTTGTTGTTCAACTATTCTTTTTTAACACCTGACAATATTAGGCCTGCATTTTGAAGAAGGTCTCATTACCACCCCTGCTTCAAACCTTTGATTCTGTTGTGGGGTTCCTGGCAACCTGGTTTTTTCATACCAGGAGAAAGAAATTAGATTTCAGGAAAAAGTAAATATGACAACAAAACATGAACAAAAGGCATTAATAGCTAACGTAACTGAGAAATCAAGTTTTTCTTCACTTTTTGGATTCACAAAAGACAAATACCATATGATTTTACCTATATGTAGACTCTAATAAACAAAATAGAAACAGACTCATAGATAGAGAACAGACTGATCGCTGCATGAAAAAGGTGAAGGGATTAAACCACACACACATCAAAACCCTCATAGGCACAGACAACAGTATGGTGGTTACCAGAGGCAAAGGGGTGGGGCAGGTAGAAGAGGGTAAAGGGGAGTAACTGGTGGTGGAAGGAAACTAGACTATGGGGGGCGAACACACAATAAAATGTACAGATGATGCCCTGGCCGGTTTGGCTCAGCGGTTAGAGCGTCGGCCTGCGGTACAGAGAGACCCGGGTTCGGTTCCCGCTAAGGGCACGTACTTCGGTTGCGGTTTGTCCCTGGCCCTGGTCGGTCGTGCAGGTGGCAGCCACTCAATGTGTCCCTTTCACATCGATGTTTCTCTCTCTCTCTCTGTTCCTCTCTCTCCCTCCCACTCTACCTGAACAAAAAATGAAAAAATGTCCTCGGGTGAGGATAAAATAATAATAATAATAATAATAATAATAATAAAATAAAATATACAGATGATGAATTGTAGAACTGTACACCTAAAACCTATAGTCACCCCAATAAATTCAATTTAAAATAAAGATGAGAAAAGTCAGATGTAAAGGTCTTGGAAGACAGCCTTGTTGCTTATATTTAGACAGATGGGCCACCCCTCAAGGCAAGAGGCTTGTCCAAGGTTTGAACAGCACGGCTGGCAGACACACCTCCAGCTCCAAGCACAGTGACCCCTGCACGACCAGCATCTCCTGCAGAGGAGGCTGAGCCCATGGTGTTTGGGGACCAGCACTCCTAGGATAAGTGTGGGGACAGGGGGCAGGGGCTCTTCATTGTGCAGGCTGTCTTTTCAGACAGATTAATCCAGAAGCCACCCATTCCCACTTCAAAGCAAAACCAGCTCACCTCTTCTTCCTTCTGACGAGCCAGATGGACACTGCCAGGATGACGCAGACGCCGAGGACGCCAGCCAGGGCCCCCGAAAGGACGATGCCTGGTGGAGAGGCAGTGGACATGCATTACTTCCCTCCCTCCCCTCCACCTCTTCCCATAGCACACCGTGTGACATCAGGTGACAGCCGGGTAGTCATCCACCTCTGTGCTCAGGTTCTGGTCTTTGGCTTGGCAGGACTGGCTGGGGCACTTAGAGGGGGCCATTTGCAAACTGTGCTCCTTCTCCAGCAGGGGTTCTCAAATTTGCACCAGGATCATCTGAAGAGCTTGTTTAAAATGTAGACTTCTTTTGAGTCCAACCCTCAGAGAATGATTCAATCTCGAGTGGATCCCAGGAATCTACATTTTTGTCAAACACCTCTAGCTGATGCTGATGTATGTGGTCCATGTACCACACTTTGAGAAACCCTGGGCTACAGAATAAAAACTTACTCCATCTTTGCCTGCTGAATGAAAGGCCCATTGGGATGCCTCTTTATCAGGGTTGCCCCCCAAGTTCCATTGCACAGTCCTAAGCAGCCCAAAACAACCAGGGGCCCATCCCCAAGGTCCCCTAGCCAGTCACCCACATTGGGCTTAGGCATGTTTTTAGGCAACGGCTTTCCACCACGGCCAACAGAAGATCTCAGGCTCTTTGAAGGTACGCATGCTGTACAGAGTGATTAGGTCTCTCATTAGGGGAGCATCTGATTGGTGGTTCATCTTTGAATCAACGAGTGGCTTGAGGGTGAGAGCCGCAGGGAGAAGAGGCCAGGAGCCAGAGCGACAGCACAGAGAAGCATAGAGGATGGGCTGGAGGAGTCGTAGGCCCAGATCACGCTGACAATCACAGTGATCACCCAGCAGCAGCATGCACGGCCAGCTGGCCACGTACCCAGACTCAGTCCTGCGTAGGTAAGGTCTTGCTCTTCAAAAGGGGAGGAAAAGATGGGAAATTAACCGAGTCAAACCTTGATGGGCTTGACCAGTGTTTCGAAGCTCTACTTTTTGTTTGGTGGGGGTACTAGGCTTATCCAGATGAGGTAGAGGGAACTGCCCACCTAGGGGATTCACACAGTGATCCCTCCTTTGGATGCTCTTAGTCACAGTGATCTCTCTTCTTGGGCAGGACTTCAGCTTTCAATAAAAAGTGGCCAAAGTGGCCCTGGCCGGTTTGGCTCAGCGGTTAGAGCGTTGGCCTGCGGTCCTGAGAGACCCGGGTTCGGTTCCCGCTAAGGGCGCGTACCTCGGTTGCAGTTTGTCCCCGGCCCTGGTCGGTTGTGTGGGTGGCAGCCACTTGATGTGTCCCTTTCACATCGATGTTTCTCTCTCTCTCTCTGTTCCTCTCTCTCCCTCCCACTCTACCTGAACAAAAAATGGGAAAATGTCCTCGGGTGAGGATAAAAAAAACAAAAAACAACAACACAAAGTGGCCAAAGTGGAAGGTGAGGAAGGATGAGAGTCATAGTCTCCTTGGGCAGGCTGTTGCCTGCTTCTCTGGTACCTACCCCTCTTCCTCAGCAAGGAACCTGCCATGCTCCGGCTGGCTGGGGCCGGCAGAGCTCAGTTGGAACCTCTCACCAGGCTTCACCCGTCCCCATCAGTCTTGTTGTCCTGGTTTGGTTCTGTTTTTGCACTGGCCCCCTGGGTAAACCAGAGAAATGCCTCCACATACCAGCCTCCCTGTGTGTCATGTGCAACCAGAGGACCAGCTTCTCGCCACAATCTGCCGTTGCAGATGAATGGGTGCGTGAGGTGTCCTCAGTGCGGCTCAAGCACCGCCCGGCTATCTGAGGAGAACTCCTGCGGTCAGCCTGTGAGGGACCTCCCTGGGGGAGGGTCACGGTGGCTCCGGCTTCTTCAGTAAGACAGAGAAGCCCAGTCATGAAGCTCCCCTGGGTGACCCAGCCGGCTTCTTCCAGCTTACAGCTACCCCCATCGTCCCAGTCAGGTCCTCCATCTAAAGAAAGTCTCTGTTTATACATACCCCCTTGTCTGGTGGTTTTCTGACTTCAGTAGAAACGTGTGTGTGTGTGTGTGTGTGTGTGTGTAAGGGTGCTTGTTCCAGTTCACATTGGAGGCTAGAGTTATGCAGAAGGTGACCACCCAGCCTGGTACTATGGAGAGCTTGTGTCCTTAGAGCCTGCACTGGGCAACTGAGACCCTGGGTGAGCGCTGACCAAGTATGAGGTGCCAACACAGGGCCAGGAACCTACTCTTGGATCACTTGACACTCGAGGGAACAAGACACGATACTGCAGGGTGAGGTTTGGCTCATGCCTTCTGTCATGTGGCCAGAGTCCAGCTGATTCCCTAGGTGCCATCAGCCCTGCTCCTTCCCCTACTGTCCTCTTCTGCAATGTCATGTTGAGTCTACGGCCTGTCTGGTCCAAGGCTGGCCCCTAGGAGTCTCTGGTCTGGCTCCCCCGGTGGTCCTGGGCTGCTGTATGGTTAAACAGAGCAGGTATGGAGAGGAGCTGTCCACAAAGGACAGGGTGACCTGTTTTCTTGGCTCTTGTCGGCCACCACCAGTAGCCCACGACCTCCCAAGTGGCAGAGAGAGTGGTTCCCCCTGCCTGGTTCACTGCCCGAGGCCTCTTCTTGTGCCTTGAACACAAGGATCAGTCTGTGGCCTGGGGAGACACTCAGGACATGACTTTCCCCCTGGGAGAGGGTCAAATATTTGCATAGCACACGCTCTTTTCCCTGCACCACTGTGGTCTCTGCACACTGTAATTTGGTATTTGGGGGAGAGAGAGAGAGAGAGAGAGAGAGAGAGAGTGTGTGTGTGTGTGTGTGTGTGTGTGTGTGTGTGTGTGTTCAAGGTACCTGGAGGTACTGAGGCCTTTAGGATCTTTTTTTTTTTTTGTTTTTTTTACAGATAGAGTGGGAGGGAGAGAGAGGAAGAGAGAGACAGGGAAACATCGATGTGAAAAGGACACATCGAGTGGCTGCCACCCGCATGACCAACCAGGTCCGGGGACAAACTGCAACCGAAGTACATGCCCCTAGCGGGAACCGAACCCGGGTCTCTCCGGACCGCAGGTGGACGCTCTAACCGCTGAGCCAAACCGGCCAGGGCACCTTCAGGATCTTAAAAACAACAACCCAGAAAGCCCCAACTACTAGTCATGGCTTCCTTTCCCAGCCTTTTGATGAAATACACTTTTGTTCTTTGTTCCTAAAACTCCAGATACCAAGCTGTGGTACCAAATGGGTTCTCACCGCGTAGGACTGGTACTGGTAAGCCTGACCACTGGGCACGCCATCCAAAGGACAGTTTCTAACTCCGTCACCTTCACAGCCACCTCAGACATCCTGAGAGCCACAGGGCCCCCACAGCTGAGCAGCCCGCTCTGGGGCCGGAGGGGGTGCCCCCCACCACGGTCTTAGGGAGCTGGGCAGGCTGCAGAAGCAAGGCCTCCAGGAATCGGACTTGTCTCAAGAGTCCAGCTTGGTGGCTGGTGTGGAGGAAAGTGCTTTCCTGGTCCACTGCGCAGTGCCCTGGGCTGCACGAGGCCTATAAAGAGCCCAATCCGCCCTGGCCGGTTTGGCTCAGTGGTTAGAGCGTCGGCCTGTGGACCAGAGAGACCGGGTTCAGTTCCTGCTAAGGGCACGTACCTTGGTTGCAGTTTGTCCCCGGCCTTGGTTGGGTTGTGCGGGTGGCAACCACTCGATGTCTCTCTCCACGTCAATGTTTCTCTCTCTCTCCCCCCCCTCTGTCCTTCCCACTCTGTCTAAAGATAAATGCAAAAATGTCCTCGGGTGAGGATAAAAAAAAAAGCCCAATTTTATCCGGGGCTTTAGCCTGGCTGCCTGCTCCAGGACAACTACTTGTCAGGGCCCAAGTTGCCTCTCCTTGGAAACAGTGACGGGAGGGCCAGCAACCACAAGGACAAGGACAGCCCCAGAGACTGGGACAGGTGCTTTCAGCCAAGACCTTGATGCGGCCAAAACAGAGCAGTTTGAGCAAGCAAAGAGCGTGAGCTACTACGCAAGAGACATGGCGGCAAGGTGTTGCCTCATAAGAATCCTGCCCCACAGGTAGCCCAGGGCAGGAAGATGCTGGGCAGCCGGCCCCTGCCAGCTTGGACAGCTCCGACATCACAGAAGCACGGCTTCTCCTCAGAGCTGGATGGAGTCCACAGGGCTGGGGTCCCCACGGCAGGCGACACCAAAGCATCTCCTAACTAAAGGGAGAGGGGAAGCCAGGGAGAGCTGTTGGGGCTACCAGAGAACTAGCCCAGAGAGAGAACAGGCACCGAAGATGGTGCAGGAGACAGAGCTAGAGAAATTCCTCTGCAGGTTACACAAAGAAACGGTTTGTTTCTGAACACCAAATAAGACAAGCAGTTCCCAGTGAGATCAATGGGACAGACAGGAGCAACGGAGCAGGCTGGCTGACAGAGATGGCCCCCAAGAGCTACGGATGAGAACGCAACCAAGGGGCTCCTGAGCTGGCTGGTCAGGGTGCAGCTGGACAGACATGGGGGCACTGCCCGCTCTCCATAGAGTGCCCTGCTATGTGTCGGGGGGACAGAGAGAGAGCAATACACACAAGGAAACCACACGGATACAGGGTACAACTGTCACAGGCCTCGCCCAGGAAGGTGCAGACCCCCAGGGAGGCTGGCAAGCGGCTTGCACAGGGGCATTGCTACCTGGTCTGGCTGGCTCGGGAGCTGCGTCTTCCGCTGGCATCTTGCTGGACCGAGGGATGCTGTTTAACTGCTTTTGAGGTCTTCTGAGGCCTCAAGTGCAAACAGAAAAGTCCAGGCGGAGGAACAAACACCTCATTGACTCAGCTCGCTGTTCCTGGAACAAGTCTAGCATTTTCTAGGTCTATGTGCAATTCTGTGCATTCAAACAGAATTCTGAATAAAAAGGACTACAGTCCTTTTCAAAGTATTATTGTAAATATGGACGGTTTGGTAGGTGACATGGTACATAGTGAAAATAGGAGGAGGCAGGGAGAGTTTTTAATCCAGTTTTGAATGGTAAAACTCTTACATCGCTTCATGCAAGTCATAGACTCAAGTAAGTGACACGCTGGCCCTCCCTCTGGTTGATGCTTTGGTAAGAAGAGCAAGGACGCCGTCCTCGCCACAGAACGTCACCACCGTTGGAGGGCATATCTAACTGGGGGATTTTCCTTATCAACACTATAAAGAACCCAATAGAGAATAATTTCTACAAATAAACCTGCCAAAAAGATACCACCGGATTATATGAGGGAACCGGTTTTCCACGCCCATGATAGGCCCAAGGGTTTGCTGTCCAGATTGCAGGCCCGGGAGAGGGCCACACTGCCCTGGGAGCCAAGGCCTGGGGCAGTAGGCACGGGCACGGTGTCAGCCTGGCTGCTTTGTCCTCTCGGCTCCGTCCGTGCCGCAGGGATGAAGGTGGTGGGCCTGGGGCCTTCACCCCTATCAGGCCAGAGCAACAGAGAGCCTGACAGCATCTCTGGGCAACTCCCTTCCAGGCCTTCAAAAGTTGGCAGCTAAGTTCTAATCTTTAATTTTTCTTAAACAAATGAATTGATTTTAATGCTGTTCACAAATTGATAACAAAGCGAAGTAAGACAGGACTAAAAATGAACAATTGGGCAGGCTTATGTTGCAGTCATTCCACAGAGAGGACCCTGGGGAGGCCCGGGGAGGGAAGGGATGGGCAGAAGGATCGGTTACATTCTTTCAGACTCGTCATGAGCACCAGGCACAGCGCCAGGCGCCTTCAGGGGGAAGACTTCTGGGAGGATATGATCAGGATTGGGTCTTGCAAGAATTTTCCAGGTGGCAGAGGTGAGGGCACCCCCAAGGGAGGAACGTGAGCAGAAGTAGACGGTGTGCATATGGAGAGCAGCTGCCACGTCCAGGGAGGCCCTGCGGAGTGCGGGTGCCGCCAGGGGGCAGGGCTGGAGCCGTCACCCCGCTACCTCCCCAAGGGCAGCTCCAGCTCTGCCTGAGCCCTTCGCCCACTGTCTTTCCTGAACACGGTCTGCTCTGTCCAGGAGCTTGTTGTTAGGGGCAAGATAGCACCCGTGGTGGAGCTTTCTGTGCCCCGTGTGCCTCACCTGGGGTGTGCTCAGAACTGCTGGGGTGTACTAAGCTGCATTAGATGAAGGGAATGGGGCGTCACTGCTCCGCACGCCAGGTGACGGTCTGCCGGTCAACCCCGTACCCAGGGGAGCTGGAAGGCAGGCGCTCCTCTGGTCTTCCGTGCGGGCACTTGGGAAGAATGGATCCTTTCCCATCTCATAGAGTTTATTTATAAATAGGAACTTTGAGAAACACAGTGTCAATAACCACAAAGCATACATTCTAGTCTCGAAGAAGTAGATAATTAGCCATCTTAGCTTTGTAAGATTTCTTTCTCTTGATCTCTTTCTAAAGGTTTTATAGAACCACCCCGCTCCAGGGCGGAGTAGAGTCTAATCTCGCTACTACACAGGTTCAGGAGTGCGAGCCCCTCCCGCAGCCCTCGTCTGAGTGCCCCTCGGCCACCCCCGCTCTACGGCAGGCCACTAAAGACGTGATTATAGAAACTTTTTGGTCTCCTCTTGTCCTTCAAGTTTGCCTCGCCCTGACATGTGAGCAGCAGGTTGGATGGGCTCTGGCTTTATGCCCGTCACCATCTGGACCCAGCATTGGTGTCTGTGGCTAGGAAGACGTCAGCTGGAAGGAAACAAGCATTGGGCCGGACTGTCGCTGTGCCTCTCTGGTCTTTCTCCTTCCTCACATGAGATTCGGGAGGGTCCCCCTGTGTTCCCTCTCTCGGGGTCCCACCTTCAGGACAGTGAGCCTCGTTTCCCCTCTTCAGCTCATTTCCATTCGTGCCACTTAGAAGAGGCACCTTGTAGGAGCTGAGTAAGTACCTGGCATGACTTTCCCCTCGCTGTAAGGAGTGGGCACTTCAACCAGAGGCAACAGATGACATTCATACGGGAGAAGCTTGTACAGCAGGAAGGAAGAAGAATGACGAAGGGATTCTGAAGGAAGCGGCTGCGTGGGAGACTGCGGACCTCTGATAAAGAGACTTGTAATCTTAATGGTGAATGGTTCTCTCTCATCCACTTCTCTTAGCCTTGGACATACCCAATGATATTAAAAAGATAATCAAGTTCTACAAAAAATAAGGGGACCAGAGTTCCTCTTGGGTCTGATTGTTCTAAATTAGTAACCCCGTACCGTTCCAGGGGTGACCATCCCCAGACTGAAAAATGTGCTGTAATGGAATCAAGACCAGGGCATGTGATAGAAAACTCTAGAGTCCTGTGATATGAGTGGGAAAATATCAGTCTGGGCCTGGGAAAGGCGTCGTGCAGCACCTGGGGCCGCAGTTCTCAGTCAGGGGAGTTTTACCCTCCCCCCCAGCGACATCAGGCCACGTCTGCAGACGTTCTTGGCGGTTACGGTGAGGGGAGCCAAGGCGCTGCCAACGCTGCAGCCCGCAGGGCAGCCCCCACTGTCCGCAGCACACGGGTGGAAGAGCCTGCCGAGGGCTGAGCCGTGGTTAGACTAGACCCGTCTTCAGGACGGAAACCAGGTTCTGTCCTTTCTAAGCACAGCTGAGGGAAAAGCAGGGTCAGGTTCAACAGTTCTGTCCCCATTCCAGTTTGGTGAAATCTCAGACCCTCCTCTCAAAGTCCATGCACTTTCTCTCCCAGAGGATTTCCTTAACATTACTGTTCTCCTGGCGAAATTTTGCAACTCCGTAGTTCTTGGTAACTTCCAGAAAAACCCCTGAATGAACCACACCTAACGACAAACATGCCTCAGTGTCAAGTGTACGAATAATCAAGCCCAAACCGCTCCAGATCCACTGACAGGTGCACCCGCACACCTGGAACAGTGTCTGAGCGGGCCCTCCTGAGTGCAGTGCCCCGGGGCATGACGTTTGGGGCTTTTGCTTTGGGGCTGCCTCCTCATTGCTCCTTGGCAACAGCCCCATCTGCTGCCTGCATCTTTTGGAGGTGAGCAGGAGAGAATTCTGGCCAAGTTTCTATAATCAGCCTCCAAATGAACAGGTTTGCCTTGTGCTGCCGCGGATTCGAAGCCGTGCAGGAGGGCAGTGGCAAAGCTGCATTGGGCTTTGATCTTGGCGTCCTACGCTGGGACGTGGTCTGTGGGCTGCCCCCCTAGCCAGACCCGGAGGGTCTACTGAAGCGCTCTGCTACACCCTGGCTGCACCGCCCAGGCTACAAGCACCCGCTTAGACCCCAGCCGGTCTAAGAAGATGGCTAATTACTCCCAATGCCAGTTTATCGTTACAAGTGAGGGGTTACGTTGGGACGTCAGACTCAAGTTCCTGCATGGCTTCTTCTGATCCTCTGTAACTGCCCTCAAACACTGTCCCTGCAATGTAAAGCCAGGATGGGGGTCGTTAGTGTCCACTTAGAATCAGCACGTCAGCCCTCGAGGGACATCAGCTCACCCAGGCCAGCCTGTTATTCTTGGCTGAAGAAACCAAGGCCGAAGAAGGGGCATAATCTGTCCACACTGTTACAGCTGGGAGGAAACAAGCCAGGCCTGGAACCCGCGTCTCCTGACCGTAGGGAAGTAGTCGTGACCCTGTCCCCTGCGACCTGTGTAGACTAGCCCAGAGAGCAGAGCAGTTATTATCCTTGAATCACAAGCAAAAGTCTACCTGATCTATGTGGGCCTAGTCCCTCCTCTGCAGGCAGGGTTTTAAATTGTATTTAGGAGTTGAAGTATTTCCATTTGACCTTTGAACATTACATACTCCATTTAGAGGAACAGGAAAAGAGAAAGTTATGTCCAGAATAGATCCCAAAGGGGTAATTCTGGACCTCAGAGGCATCTCCTGGGGAAGACGCTTTCTTAGTCATCATCACATACATCCTCCACGTTTAGGCAGGTCCACTGTTCACAGAGTCAGTTTTCAGGCCAGAAAATGGAGGGTGAGAGAGGGAAATGACCTTCACTAGTGGCATCTGGAGAGGGGAACACAAAAGCTACCTTCTTGGGCAGTTCTTGGCTGAGTCACTGACTGAGCAGGGCACAGTTGTGACCAGATGTTAGGTGATCCAGAGGGCATGTTTCTAATGCTGCCTGACGAGAGCTTTGAAATACAATCTCCGTATGTCCAACTACGCTTAGTAGGTGATGCTGGTAATCTCACACAATAAGAAGGGAACAAACAAGATTGAACAAAGAGGGCAGTGAACAAAGAGAGCTGATCGCCCGGCCAGTGGGTTCGCGGGGCCATCTTTCAGTATGAGCACCTGGCCCCGTTCAGCCACAGGTGACATGTAAGAGGATACGCTGGTACTTCCTCGGACCTATCTGCTTCTGACCACTCGAGACTCCCAAGTCGGGAGCCACTCAGGCATCTACAGTGAGAAAGGAAACCTGGGGGTTTGAAGAAGGGTGTGGGCCCCAAGACTGTTCCCTAACCCCCTTTTCCTGGACCCCTAGCTTCCAGCAGTACTGATGTAGGTACTGGGCAAGGAAAGATCGTGAGTGCCCTTCGGGGAGGTTTCAGATTTAGGAGGAGGAACTGAGCTTTCATAGCGTTAGAATAAAGCACATGCTCTCGCTCATCGGGCGTGCGCTGTGCCTGCGCCTGGGGAGACGGAGGCAGTGGGGGCAGCTGCGTTCGCCCCGTGGGCCGCGGGACCATGCATGTGACCCTCTCAGAGGAGCACCCTGGACACGGAAGGTGCTGGTGGTGAGCCAGCGAGCAAGGCTGAAGATGGGCCTCGACGCTCAGAAAGCCGAGAAGAAGGAGTTAGGAGAGTGACCTCATGGAACGGGGGCTATCCTGTGTCTTAGGAGAAGGGGTGCGTCTCCAGAGCAGAGCGGTCCCCCAGGACATTCTGTTCCCCCTCTGAGGGAGACGCCCACACTTCATGAGGGCTCTCGTCCGTGCGCCTGGAGGCCCTGGCTGTGCTTCCTGCGAGGGCTCAGGGAAGTCAAGGGCAGGGAGGGGACCTCAGCAAACCCACACACAGCTCCTCACGTGCCCCGCACCACGGTTCCCTTGGCAGCCAGAGTGCCCCTAACACGCCTGAGGCCAGGGCACCACTCCCCCCCACACCCCGCATCTCCTCACCTTGTTGGAAGGAGATGTACACCCGCCTCTCATCAAACTTCTGGACCCCCCGGAAGTTGTTGACCATTTCCCTGGGGGCTGGGTCGTTCTCACGCGTGAAGTACAGAGCTGTCTCCAAAGCCAGCAGCTGTGGGGGCAGAGCAGAAACACCCTTCAGGCAGAGTGGCAGCTCCTCTGCCGGCCCTCGAGGAGGAAGGGACTGCCAGCCCTCACCTCCAGGGCCTTAGCAAGAGTCGGGGAAAGCCCGATACTGCTCCCCTCCCCTGCGGGCATCTGGGGAACTGGGCACGGGTGAGCTGACCCCACCTCCCAGGCTTAGCTCCAGACTGTGCCTGACATCTGCGGCAGGGAGGAATCCGGGGTGCCGGAGGGGCTCCTCAGCTTCTCCCAGAGACCACCCTGCTCTCCTGTGCCCGATTTGGACCCGACTCAATCAGAGGGTCTGGGGCCTATGCGGATGGCCCCACCAGAAGCAATGGGAAGAGGAGCAAGCCTGTGGCGGGTCACTCAGGTGCCGGTTCCACAGAGCTTTCACAGACCCACGCAGACTGCGTGATCTGATTCCAGGGGTTCTGGGTCAGGACCGACGGCCTCCCCACACTTCTCCTCTTGATTCAATGCGCCGTTATTCCTGCCCGCCTGCTTGCTGCCTGTGTCTGGGTTACTCAGGTCAGAAGCTCATAGTGAAAGGAAGCCACGCTGAGGGCGACGGTGGCTGGGCCGTGAGCCGGTGCACAGCGCTACCCGCCGGCTCCTGGCTGCCTTTCTCCTTGGTGAATCAAGGCTGGGAGCACAGGTCGGCAGCGGCCTGGAGCCCGTAGCTGTCACTAACCAGGGGCGGTCCCGCAAGTCTCCTGAACACTAATCCTCACTTTCATGCTGTGTACAGTGAGATGGTCAGAGGTGACTGCTGAGGCTTCGGCTCCTCGGCTTTGCACTAGACAGTGAGCCGAGGGCAGAGAGCCTCGCCGACTCATCGCTGCAGTCAGCCCGGTTGTGAAGCAGTCTGACTTGGTCCTCCCTCATTCCACCCTGTGAAGGAACCAGGCGGGATATACTGTAGTAGGAAATGCAACTTAGCAACTCTTTTCAAGAACTGTGGATCCGGCCCTGGCTGGTTTGGCTCAGCGGTTGGAGCGCCAGCCTACAGACCAGTGAGTCACGGGTTCGATTCCAATCAAGGGCACGTACCTCTGTTGCAGTTCACCCCCGGCCCTGGTTGGGTCGTGTGGGAGGCAGCCAGTCGATGTGTCTCTCTCACATTGATGTTTCTCTCTGTCTCTCTCCCTCCCTCCCTCCTTCTCTGTCTAAACAAGAATGGAAAAATATCCTCAGGTGAGGATTAAAAACAAACAAACTGCGGAGCTGGATTCATCTTCCTGTCTGACTTGGTAGCCGTACCTAATTCTGCTGCACTTCCCAGGTACCTGTGACATTGGGGAGGTTTTATTTTTTATTTTTATTTTTATTTTTTATTGTTTAGAGAGAGGGGAAAAGAGAGGGAGAGAGAGAGAAACATCGATGAGAGAGAACATCAACTGGCCGCCTCCTGCATGTCCCCCACTGGGGACTGGGCCCACAACCTGGGCATGTGCCCTGACCGGGAATCAAACCAGAGACCTCTCGGTGCACGGGTCGACACTCAACCATTGAGCCACACCGGCCGGGCATGGGGAGGTTTTGAATAGCTGCCAATGAAATTCTAAGTGAGGAAAACAAGTCATTGAATATGATATGGGTGATACCACGTGGCCTCTGACTCGGAGGAGCACACTTACCTGCTGCCGGGAGACTTGCACGGTGTTCCTGAAAACTGTCCAGATCACCGTGGGGTGGCAGGGAGGCGTGGTCAGGGACCCGTGGTAGCGATAGTACTCAGCAGGCCTCTCGGGAAGCAGCTCTTCAATGCTGAAACCCGGAATGTGCACTTTTTGGTCTGGAGAGACATGTTGGAGGATGTGTCAGTCTCGCTCCCAATGGCAGAAGAGCAGCTGAGCATATGACCGAGCGAAGAAATAGGGACTAGCCCCTTTCTAAGCCGTCTGACCCAAGGACCTGGTCACAGACAACACCTGTCCTCAGCATTCGCTTTTCTTCAGGTCACACAGGAGCCACTACATCCTTCTCCAACAGAGGGTGAATGAGCATCCCATCTCAGGACCCCTCACCTTTGTACTTCACATGTTGAAGGTGACTGAAGATCTTGTCATAGGATGGATTGAAGGAGCCCATCTGCAAGAGACGGAGCCGGTTGAACTGGGACAGAATCCTATAGGCTGAGCCTGGACTGACGATGGCGAATGGAAGAGCTTGGTGGGCGTACGTGGTCACTGCTGCCAGGCCCTCCTGAAGAAGGCCCTTTACTAGGACAATTAGGATGGGTCACTAGGCTGGTACGGGGTTGGTATAGTGATCCTGCCCTCCTGTAGCTCAGGGCGTACTGTTTCCAGCTCAGGACACAGGGGGTCCGGGGCAGGGGATATGGCCTGTGCTGATTGCCCAGCTATGGGCCTGAGGGCTTGCTCTCTAACCGGAACTTAGGGAGCGTGAGCTCACGCGAGCCAAGTCATGTAAGCATGTTGAGAAACAAGGTACATGCTGTCTCACTAGGGAAAAATGATGCAGGTGAATCAGGAGATCCTCCCATTTTCTTAGGAAAGAACTCATTCCAGGGCCCATATAAAGGATAGAATTTGGATGCCAGGAGTTGGGTCAGGGGTTCAGCCATCTGATGGTGCAGAACCGAATGGTTCCCATCTCCCCCTTCTACACACACACACACTCACATGTCTTGTCCAACTGGGCAATCCCATGCCTTATGCAGTAGGGCTGGGGACTAGGGCTCATTTTTCCAGTGTCACAAAGGACCTGCCTGTTCCGCTGCCCAGCCCAGGAAGTGCTGCCTCCAGGCCAGCAGAGAAGGAACTCTCTGGGCAACACCCCCTGCTCTAGAGGCCAGACGGCCAAAATCAGGCTGAGCCACCCACATCCAACAGACTGGTGTGCATAGAACCAAATGCCAAGTGTGATGTTATCCCAGCTTCACATTTTATGTAAAATCTCTTACCTCGATGAGAACAGCTAGGACGGCGAGGCCTCCTGACTTGTTACTGGCGATGATGTCGCTGGGGTACAGGTCCGAGTTATAATGGACAATATGCAGCTGCAGTGGGCGAGAAGCCGCTGATAAGGGGATGGGTGATTCATGGAAACCTTTCACTTTTGCAGGAGACTGGAAGCCAATGGGGAGGACAGACCTTCCCCCAGGTAGAGTATGCCCCTCAGACCCTCCCCTCATGGCCTCCACGGTCTCCCTTTTCCCTCATTCCTCCCTGCAAACTCTGCCAGAGCAGACTGCCCATCTTTTTTGTTGTTGTTGTTAATCCTCACCCGAGGATATTTTTCCATTGATTTTCAGAGAGAGTGGAAGGGAGGGAAGGAGAGTGAGAGAGGGAAACATCGATATTAGAGATACACATCGATTGGTTGCCTTCCACTCAACCCAACCGAGGCCAGGGATTGAACCTGCAACCCGGGTATGTGCCCTGACCAGGAATCAATCCCACGACCCTTTGGTCTGCAGGCTGATGCTCTAACCGCTGAACCAAACTGGCCAGGGCTCTCTTTTTCTGTATCCATCTCTCTTTCCATCTTTTATGGTTATATATAGAATTTAAGAATATTTTATGGAATATAGCTCGATGTTCCCCACTTTTCAAGTGGCCCTTTCTAATATTTAAAAATTATATCAAATTATTGCTTCTTTTAAGTGGACCTCTATTCAGGATTTCTTAGGAGCTCCTCCTTCACCAATTTTCCCCTGAGGGACGTGGCCTCTCACAGTCCTCACACCATCCTTGCCTGGCATCACTGTGACAAACGGAACAGAGTCCTAAGTGGCTAAAACCCAGATGTCCTAGATAGATCTTATTTCTTCTTACAGCTGACCTTTGAATTTGTGGTTTCTTTTCACTTTTTGCACTGTGTTTAGATTAAATCAAGGGGAGGTGAAGACTAATACGAACAGGAAGGAAGTCCCAAGAGTTTTCTTATATCGACTCATCCAGAAGAACCTCTATACTCTCAAGGACCCTCCACAGAGAACCTGCCACTTGAGGGTTAACTTGATGTATTTTCTCTTACTGACATTTACGGTCCATCTTCACCAGGCTCTTGTTCTGATGATGTGGCTTAATAGCAGAAAACACAATAACTAGAAATATTTTTAAACGTCCTAACCCTCCCACCCGACACCCTAACTCCTCCTCTGTTCCCCACGGGAAAGCAGGAGCCTCCACATTGCAATTAGCCTGGAAGGACTGGCAGTCCTGGAGGTTCGGAGAGGGGCCTGGTCTGAGATACGTGCACCTACAGTAGTTCCATCCTGCTGGGCCAGAATTATAGTCTTTCCACATTCGCAAGTCAACCTGTAATTAGCCTGAGACATTAAGCAGTTCAGCAATCAAGAACAGAGGAGAGTGGTCATGTCAGTATTTACTGTGGGCTCCGCTGGCTGATCAGTGGTATTTATCTCCTTGTGTTGCCCAGTAAACATTCAGAACACATCCCTGGTTCAAGCCTATGGGAGCTCTGACCTAGAGCAACTCTCCCCTCCCCCACAGTGCACAGCCGAGTGTCCTCCTATCTGCCTGCCTTTGGCATTTTGGGTTAGCGCCTCGAGGCTACATAACACTACGCTCTGTTGACACCCCAAGCTATCCTCAGTGCTACGATGCCCTGCACATTATGATGCCAGTCACCCCTTGATTTGTGGCCAAGTAGAAAAGCAGCCCTGGACGGGGTCCCCAAGTTCCAGGCACAACCCATGTCCAGCGAAAGGAAAGATGGGATGGGACAGACCTATGCAAACGGCACGGCGTGTGGAGCAAGACTGAGAGTGTGGGGAGCACTAAGCCCTGTGCGCTTCAGCAGGGGAGGCAGCAGCTAGACGAGCTGGGGAGAACTTAATCTGGGCCAGCAGAAGGGCAATGTCTAGAAAAGGGACATAGGTGTCCCACTGGCCCCCCCGGGAGCACTGCTTTCTGAGCAGCATCAGTCCATGAAAGATAGAGACAAACTCAGCCTGCTTAGGAGAGAAGGGTGACCTGGACACCACAGAGGAGCCGCAGGGTGGCTGGAGGAGTACCTTCCTGTTCTGCTGCCAGGGCTGGGTGTGGGTGTGGGCAGCATGAAGGCAACACCCCCACCCCTCCCCGGACCTCCCAAACCCCTGTGCTTGGATCTTACAGTGTCCTCCCACCCCCACCCCACGCTCTGGTCTTATCTGCACTCCAGCCGAGTGGAAGAATGCCAGATCCCCCACCACTGGGCGGCTTCTGCCCGCCTGGCCACCCACTCACCTCAGCGGCAAAGTGCTTCCCACCAACAATGTGCTCAGAGCCGTGCGGGTCATTCTGGTTCCCCCAGTGCAGGTGCAGCTGTTTGGCACTGTAGCGGGACGGGAGGCCCTGGATATGCAAGCCTGCGGGCAGCTCCAGCTTCACTGCGGGGAGTGGACGGGCAACCTTCAGAGTCAGTACACAACACCTGCCCAGGGCCCGGATGGGGCAGGTGGATACAGCAAGATGGAGACCGGAGAGATGCAGCCTGCCGGTCAGAAACCTGGCCTCTTCCCCTGAAAAGGTCCCTATTTCACTAAAGCAATTCCAGCAGCACCAGCACCTTCTTGGTTCCACTTGGAAAATGGAAAATGATGCCAGGAACATACTACCAGTGGGTGGATGCTTGTTTACATATCCATGCACTGTATACCTGGCTATGAAGGTAGAACCTTTATTTATTTCTTATTATTTTATTTTGTTTTGTTTTTAATCCTCACCCGAGGATATTTTTACATTTGTCTTCAGACAGAGTGGGAGGGAGAGAGAGAGAGAGAGAGAGAGAGAGACATGGATGTGAGAGAGACACATCAACTGTTTTCCACCCACACAACCCCAACCGGGGTATGTGTCCTTTGCTGGAATCAAACCCTGGTCTCTGATCTGCAGGCTGACTCTCTAACCGCTCAGCCAAACTGGCCAGGGCTTATTTTTTCTTTATTGATTTTAGAGAGAGAGGAAGGGAGAGGGAGAGAGAGATAGAAACATTGATGAGAGAACATCGATTGGCATGCTCCCCACTGGGGATCTGGCCCACAACCTGGGCATGTGCCCTGACCAGGAATCAAACCGGCGACCTCTTGGTGCGTGGGTCGACGCTCAACCACTGAGCCACACCAGCCGGGCCAAGAAGATAGAACCTTTAATGAAATACCTACCAAGCTGTAGAATTCTCTCACAACAATAATAATTTCTATTTATGAAACATCTGCTCTATAACAGATCCCAAAAGACATCATCTCTCGTCTTCACAGTACACACCAATATGCCCATTTTCCAGGTGAAAACTCAAGGAAATGAAAATTCTTACCCAGAGTCTCATGACTCATAAGTACTCAACCCAGCAGTCAAATCCAGGTTTGTGTGGGAGGGTTGCTCGCAATGAACTGTGTGGTTCCCTGAGTTCATGACGCCCAATAATTCACTCTCCCACCACAGCCAATGGCCACGGGCACAGACCTGTCCCCTCTCCCATCCCAAGACATGTGCTTCCGAGAGGTGCTGTCCTGGCAGGACAGCCTGAGCTCAGGGCCTCCCTCAGGCACCCTCTGCCCCTGCCCGGTGCCTCAGTGGAACCTGTCCCCTAGCAGATGTGAGAGGGCAGGCAGGGAGCGGGGGGAAGCTCAGACAGCCCCTGCAGGTCTCTGGGGTCTCTCCCTCACCTGAATGGCCATCGTTGATCAGGGTAAATTGCTCGTTGGCAGACACATTGTAGCCTTGGAACTCAAGGGGCACAAGGCTGGCATTGTACTGGAGGATGTCACCGTGCAGGTCTATTGGGGACTGCATCAGGCCCCCGCACGATGGGTAGTTCTTGGGCCAACTCTTTTCCCCGTCAGGACCTGGAAGGAGAGATTCAAGCCCAAGATTTAATCAGTTTTCCACAGACGTGTTTTCTTCACCTTCTAATTCTGTGTTCAATACAATTACTCCCTTTCTCTCCTTAATCCACAGAAGTATATCCTTCAAGGCCCAGAGACCTCAGCCCACAGAATCAGGTCCAGCAAATGCCTCCAGATCACTTGCTCGTGAAGTAACACAGGGACAGAGGACCGGAGCAGCCCAGGCAGGGCCAGGGCCCACCTGACTGCTTCATGGTGGACATTGTTCCTGTTTTGGTATCTTACACATCCTCTCCACAGGAAGACTTGTTGACTTTAGCAATCTGCCTATTACGATGAGCAGGGGTCGCTCTGGGTCTTAGGGCCGCCGGGTTGCACACCAAACTACAGCCCCCGATGGCCCCAGCTAGCATTCCAGTGGGGGTGAACTTAATTAATCTGCTGAGACGCCCAGGCTGGAAAAATTGGTGTCGGACTGACTACAGCTCCAGGTAGGTCTTTGAGGCTAATGGATTCACAGGTATGACCTTCCTGAGAGGAAATCCTCGAGGACACTGACTTCGGATTCCCACTTCTAGGGTAAGTACAGAACCCAACCTGATAGGGATACTTGACAAATATCAAGTAATCATAGGCCTGGAATCACAGAGCAAAGTGCAAGGTTTACACTGAGACAAAGTATGACAAGACTACAAACTAATTATTACAGCGTCATTGACAAACTATTGGTGAAGAGGAACCAACTGAAAAATATATCCTCCAGGGCACAGGTTTCTTCATAACCATCAGGTAATAGTCCTTCCTCTGGCAATAAGAATAAACAATCCCATCCCACGTTCAGATAAACTTTCTCACTCCCACAGGGAAAAGTCTTTAAAGAATGCAAAGCTATGTTTAAAAGATTATCTCCCATGGTAATTAAACAGATTTTCAGGCTGAGGTTTCTCCAGAAAAGCAAATAATTGGCATGTCCGGGCTCGTTGGAACAGAACATGGTGCCCCGTGTGCTCCTCAGTAGGGAACCGAGCACTGCCTTCGGGGTCTATGCATCAGTATTTCAGCACAAAGAAGGGTGTGGCCCGGAGCAGAGGTGGTAGGAACACCACTTCTCCTGGGAACCCTTCCGTAGATGGTAGGACCATGTCACAATGTAAGTGTGCATCCTGGCCCACCGAACCCCAAGTCCCTGCACCTTGACCTCCAACCAGAGGACCTCATCTGAGAGGGGAGAGTCAGAAGCAAAACTTGGTGCCCACAGACATTTAAAATGCCGTGAGGAGTTGGTCCTAGGTCTAGACACACGCAGTAGAACCCTACTAGTTTTCCAGGCTGTCCACCTTCGCGTGTACCTTTCAAGAAATGGTAGAGCTTGAAGGGGTTTCAGAATCTCAGGCCAGCCTTTCCCTGGACACCAGTGTGCTCACTTGCACACGTCGGTCAGAGTTTCCACTGAATGATACTGTTTTTATATCCAAGGCCTCGAACACTGGACCCAGGGCAACTCAACTGGGGAGGAGGCTGGGGCCACCAAAGCAACGGCTGCAGGGGCACATGGGGGGAGGACAGTGGTTCAGCTGAGGGCAAAACCTAATTCTTCAGGGACAGGAGGAAGCAGGGAGGAAACAATCCTGAGGTATGCAAGCCCTCAGGGTTGGGAAGAGGCACACGGAGTGGGTGGCAAGACTTCGAGGCTAAGGCTGCCTGTCTGCTCACTGCACCGCCTGGGCCGACAGTCAAGGCGGCAGAAGCTGCCAGGCAGGCATGAATGGACATTCTCGGGAACTAGAGACAAGGAGAGCATGTCTGCGTGCACACATGGCCAAAGGGAACCAGGCTAGAAGAAGGACTTTCTTTTCCCAGGGCAGAGGTTCCCAAAGGTTTCACGAAGAGAGCATTTTAGTGATAACGACATCAGGAGCTCCTTGGGGACTGGGCATTTCATCCTCATCTCTGTGAACCCAGGTTGTGACGGGGGTCACACATATACCAGGCATTTAGGAAACATTTTCCAAAGAATGAAAGAGAACAGACAACGTGGGGGGAAATTATTAGGAAGAATATTTTTCTTTTATTTTGCCCTAACGACTCTTCCTTGGATGTTAGGCTGAATTAAATATTTGGAGACAGGACAGACTAAGGTTATAAAAGCAGGGTCAGTGATGGTCAAGCCTCCCAGGAAAGAGAAGCAGCTCTTCTTGGACCAGGAGAGCAGAGAACCAGATCCCAGCACCTGCTCCCCACCACCCCAGCGACCTCAAGCAGATCACATCCCCGGCCTAAGTCTCCTTTGCCCTGCGTGCACATGGGAGGATTGGACACTGTGTTCCGGAACGGCCCTTCTGGCTCCCAAGCTCTGAGATTTATTAAGATTACTAGAACTAAGCACCTTCACCTTCTGAATCAGGCGAACTGGAACGAGTTGGACAGGGTTGCTCATGCCAAGGCAGCTTCTGGGCATGTGACAAGGTGCCCAGTGGTAACCAGCTTGGGAATGAGGGCACAGGGCACCGCTGCTCCTGGGGTTGGCCGGAGAGTGGGCAGCGTCTGTATCAGGAACCCCCCGTGGGTCTTGGCTGCCGTCCACAGGGGGCGCTCGTCCTTGAGTGCCAGTCACAGGCTCTTAGGAAGAGGGTCCGAAAGCCTTTCTTACTCCTGCAGATGCTGAAGTGTCTTTATTTATTATTGTTTTTTTTTTTTCTTTATTGATTTTAGAATCAGAGGGAGAGAGAAACATCGATGAGAGAGAATATCGATTGGCTGCCTCCTGCATACCCCGCATTGGGGTTCGGGCCCACAACCTGGGCATGTGCCTGACTGGGAATCGAACCAGCAACCAGTTGGTGCATGGGTTGACGTTCAACCACTGAGCCACACCGGCTGGGCTAGTACTGTTATTTTAGTAGTCTGGCTCCTCACAGGTCTACAACTCTACAGCATTGGAAAGGCAAGAATTGCCCCACCCTGTAGATGAAAAATTGAGATTAACTAATTTTCTCAAAGCTAGACTTTGGTTAAGTTACCTCACCTGAGTCACAAGACTTGCATGCCCTTCTGTTTCAATATTTACCCAGGAGATTATGTGCACCTCCTCCCTTGCCTTTGCTCTCCTTGAAGACAAGAACCTCGTGTAATTCATCCTGCCTGGTCCAGACGCCTGGCCCCTGGCCCGAGCAGGCCCTCAGGTGTTTCCCCGCGCTGCATTCTCACGCCAATTCTGTGCCTGTTTGTCCCCAGGGAAGCACGCACCTATGTTAATCTCCTAGTCTCCCATTCCCTAACATAATTTATTTTCCCCCTCAAACAAGGAAAAGTAAATGGTGTTACTTACTCAAGTTCAAAATTTACCCCCCTAGCTTCCTAGTTTACATGCATGACGATCTGTTCTGTCTGGGACCACCCACTGAAAAAGAAATCTGGTTGCTGCCCCGTAGCCTGGGAGATGGCCTGCCGACTCTGGGGCTTGGCAGTTCACGGGACCCTCCACCAGCATGTGGTGGCTGGTGTCCCCTCCTTGCACAACTGGGACATTGTCAGAGCTGCCTCCATCTTTATGGCTCGTCAGTGAGAAAGAGAGGTGCCATGTGGTGGGCACAGCACAACCAGGATCAGGGTGTCAGCAAGAGGCTCCTTTCTGCCCCCAGACTCTGCCCAGGCAACGTGGGACCTGCCACCCCAGCGACACCGGCCCCTTCGCTGGCAGCTAGAGCTCCGGCTGTAATGTGTCAGCTCGCCCTCAGCTTTCACGCTCAGCCTGTGCCCTGCTGCCCGGCGGCCCTCGGACTGACCCTCCAACAGCAGCGTCTGTTTCCAGGAACCTGGAACTGACTTTTCTCTGGATTGTCGGCTGGACTCCTCCCCTGATCATCATCAAGGAGATCATGTGTATCTCCCAGAGTGTTTTCCTCAGATAACACAGGGCATTATTTCTCCCCAGCTCATGGCTTTTTCTCCATTAGGCAAAACAGAAGAGGACCGACTTCCTGTTTTGAAATGTAACACAAGGTCAATGTGGCCCCACTCAAAATGCCTCTTGTGGTCTCTGATGGGGAATTATGAGGCCCGGGGTGCAAGAATGAGGTACCTGAGGCCCATGGTTTTTTCATGGAAAATTTCATATGTAGACGGCAGTAGAGAGAAGAGCAAAATGAACCCCACCCCCAGCTTCACAACGAACAATTCACAGCAATCCAGCCTTATCTCCCCTGCACCCACTCCCCGTCCCCGGATAACTCAGACAAATGCACATATGTCATCTGTACTCATTTCAGTGTCTCTTCAAGCATGAGGACTCAGGCCTAGATCTCAAGTTAATGGGCAATGCCTCCTCAAAGAACAACTGGACCCCCTCTTCAAGACTCCATATCAGAGCCAGGCTGGCTCAGCCCATGCTTTGCCCTCATGCCGTCCAAGTTTCCATCGCTCCCACCGCCTAGGTCAGGCCGCACACACAGCTCCCTGCAGGGTCCCTGCCTCAGCCTTTCCTGGGAGCTGCCTGGCTCCTTTCTTGTAACCAGGTTTAACAGGTGCAGCCCCACTTCCGTGCCTCCGCCCCATCCCTCCCCTCCCTTTCTCTACAGCATGCCCCGCCCCGCCCCAATAAACAGAACCGTAGCCGTCCGTCCGTCCGTCCGTCCGTCCGTCCGTCACGGCCTCCAGAGGCCCTCCCCAGCCAGCCCCATGGTCAGGCCAGCTCCCCCGGCCTCAGAACAGGCTATGCCCACCAACCTTCACAAATGTGCTTATGCTAAAAATGTACATTAAATGCTTTTTCTTCCTTCAGCTTTCCAAATCTTGTCCACTCCTCGAAGTCCAGCTCAAGTCCTGCCAAGGCCACTCCAGTGCCTCCTGCCTGCCTGCCGCCTCCGCCAGCCTGTGGTGGCACAGTGACGCAGGCTGCCACTGACCCGTCCACCTGGGACCGCTGTCTCCGGGCTGGGACATGAGCCCGTTCCAGAGCTCCCGTCCAGTGTTCCGAAGGCCTTTTGAAGACTAACACTGTC